CCAAGGGATTTGAGTAAAATTAGATTTCCGACCCGCCCTAATGTACATATATAGCAAAAAGGTTCGCCAATTTTCTGCTTTTAAGCGCTCATTTGTCATATTTACCTGCGACTGCGATTGCCATTTCCTAAATTACGATTGTCCCGCCATCTTAAGAAGCGATGTCGTAAAGCTTGTCGCACCTCCGAATTCAGGAAGCAAAATAATAAGGACACGAAGAATCCCTGTGTGAAAGAACACATTATACACAAAAAATATGGCTGTATGTAAATATGCAGTTTAATTACTTCTCTTTTCGAAGCTTTCACTCCGTTCACCTTTCAATATAGAGACTAAAGGCGGATTCATCATTCTAGAAGAAAAGTTCTGAACTAAAATGATGCATCCGCCTTAAGTTTGACTATATATTTCAAAGTTTTCTTGCTTATCTTTCTTATTGGCGTAAGGTTTGTTATGGTGATCCAAAAAGGACACTATGTGACTGCTAAGTGAGCACAATCTCATTTCAAGGGATATTCTGATGATAGGAACCCATATTTAAATTTGGAAAAAAACACAGAAATTATTCTGTAGAGTTTTGTGTGAAAAATAAAGAGATCTTGTAATAAGAAGTCGGCAATAAGGTTTACGTTAACACCATTAAGTTGAGAAGACCAAAAAAAAAAAAATAGCGCGGTTACAGAAATATGATTTCTGAAGATACACGTCTACAATAAGGTATTAGATGAGTCTTAAAAAGAGATGAGGATTTGTTAACCTTTGTTTTCTTAAAGAGGTAAATGAAACATTTGCGAAATATCGAAAACGTCACTTAGAGCCCACTGTAATGCATACGTACATACATACATACATACATATGTATTAGCACACATACCTGCGTACTAATTAGGATGACACGCAGATTTTCAAATATATTTTGTGTGATTCCATCACCGCCAGGACTAAAAAGAACAATGAGATACGTGATACCGAATAAGGGTATGAGTACAAGCAGAGCTTTTGATGCCTTGCGATATTGACGCGTCTCCAGAGTATTGGCCGAGCGCAACTTTGTGATGAGCACCTGAAATGATGAGCGAGGTTGAAGTAATGTCAATAACATCACGTATGTACATGGATTTACATAAATATGAAGTCAAAAAAAAATAATGCCTTCTAATTAAATACTTAGTTGATTACAGATTTGTGTACTTACCCACATGATGCGTATGAGAAATATTAAATTGAGTATTAATACTAGACAGGTTGGTCCTTGAAATATCCAATCTATGTGAGATTCTCGTAGCCACGAGCATTGGATAAACAACTGAAAATAAATGCATATGCATTAGAGATGCTGATATTTATGTATAAACTAAAAGTAAGTACAGCTGCGGTCAATGAATTAGCGCCGAAATTCAAAATGACAATGTTGAATTTATTTGTATTTGCTTTTAATAATTTTCATTTAAAATGCAATGCAAACAGAAACCACATACATAAACACAAGTTTAGACGAATTTCAAAAAAAAAAAAAAAAAAATCCTCATAATTTAAAATTTTTTAATCAGAATCTTTAGAAAAGTTTCGGATATGCAGAAATAGAAANCGATAATTTCTTCGATGGTTTTTAACTTAAAAAATAACAAGTCTCGCATAAAAATGATTTTTTTCATATCGCTGCAGCTTCTTTTACAGTTTTCAGTGATAATATTCACTCCTTTCATCAGATATAATTAAAAAATATTTGGCAAATCGACTCGATTTCAAAGTTTCGAATTTCAGAACATGCCTGTATGTTTTGATTTCAATTTTTTTTCTTTTTTGTGGAGGGTGTGGCGCACTTTCTTCCATATGACGCATCAACAAAAAATACTAAAAAGTGTTTTCATAACAGTGACCATTTTTAATCGTGCGGGAGAGAAATTTTGATCCATTGGCGTTCAACTTAAGTAAAATTTTTGAGTAGGTTTTAAGTGTGAAAATGCACATCTATTGAATATGGATTTGATTGTGACGAGTTCCGATTTCAGTACAAAATTCCTTTCCATAGCTTAAGCTAATAAATCCAATTTTAATGTTGTAACAGCACAAAAAAAAAATTAAGTTTCGTTCCGTTTCTGCTGTTGCTTACATTGTCCAGAATCTTCTATAACAATGTGAGTGTTCACACCAGTCTGGTTATCAGGCTAAGGTCGTAATATTTTTATTTCAGATAACCTGATAACCAGACAAGTGTGAATAACCACAATGTTATCTTGAAATTCAACGAAGGATGAGCCCAAGCGCCAAAACTGCAAGTTTCCAAACAAGAGTTTAATTGATCAGTAGATACTCCTTGCTGTCAATACACCTACTAGAATTCAGATGATACTCATTTTTCGCTTCTGCTTGTGTGATGCTATGTACATATTTGCATACATCTCTCATTTTATCTCAACTTTGTGGAATATATTATTTATTTTTGCGAGGCGATTTTGACAAAAAGGGGGCATGACCCGACTTTGAAAGATGTGGCGAAAGAAGTTTAATTTAAAAAATTTCACTGCCTGAGGGTTCAAACCTCGGATCTCGCGAATGGCAAGCAAGTTGTCTGTTCTATACGCCATTGCGATTGTTGTTGCAACGCGAGCAAAATGACATACTTATTCCTTTCACATGTGATGACCCGACAGACTACCCCTTCAATTGGTATGAGTTGCTGCATAGTCGGACAACTGAAATTTCGTAGGACATCGCCATGTTAAAAAACCACTTGTTTGCATGGAAAAAGGTTGGATGACGAACTAGTTGAGCTGAAAAGTTAACTGGTTTTATTCTAGTTCAAACTAGAAGCTTTCTCTACAAGGTACTAATGGATGCTGAAAGCAAACTCCGGCAGATTTTTTCGAGGTATGCTTTAACCGATTTGAGCATGATTTGGAGTGTCACAATAATTATTTCTTATATAAAATTTTGTATGTGACACTTGAGAAGTGTAGATTATTCGTATATGCAACTTTTCTGCATGCTTGTCGGGAGAAGCTCTGCCAAACAACAAAAATTTAAGCGCCAAATATATTTAAGCAAAAAGATACAACCAAACTACTCAGTTTTACGTTTTGGTATGCGTCCATGCGCATGAATGTATATATGAATACATACATATATAGAAATACAGAGCGGATTACCGAATATGAATCGATCATAATTTATAGTGTTGGGCAGTATTGATACCAAAAGTACTCACAACTCGATTCAAAAAAGGATCGACA